CAGGGACCTAAAAATTAGTTGTGTGACTAGCCAAGAGCATGAGCAAGCCATCGTCCCACCTTCAGGTTCGGTTGGCAGAATTGTAGGTGCTCCCGAATCCCGAAATCAACGCCACCAATCCAAAGGCCCGAAAAGCCCCAATAGTTCCCGCGTGGCTTCAGTCCTTGCAGGTGTACAATCATCTGGAGATTGTTATCGAACGTATAAGATGGGTCTCGATCTTTGCGCTGCTGAGGGTCATATCCCCCGTCAGTACTTCAAATGTCCCCCCGCGACCATCACCCGCGGTTAGATGGGTCAGAACTTGCTTCAGTCTTGGTTGAAACTCTGCTTTATGGTGGGTCGCTCGTCAGCTCTCGGGAGTATGAAATCACAATAAGGTTTTAGGTGTTTTTGTTGTATTATTCATACAATGTTTTGATACTATGAGGGACCGTTGTAGAACCCGCCGCGAAGGTTTTCTCAAACCAATGTCAATTACAGCAGGGATACTGTTTGCTACAATCACTGGTGTTGGTCTTGATGCACTGCTCTGAAGCAAATCTAATTTTATAATTTTTAGCGATGGTTCATTAATATTACCCTTGCATTTGACGCCTTTATCCAGCCAACTAGCCCAGGGTATTGCGTAACACCAACATCACTCAATCCTGCTGAACGCGTCTATTTGAATTTACCCCACCCGAAAAATGTTATGACCTCGGCGCTGTATGTGACTATGACCATCGTTGGGGATGCATTTATGGTGAGCTACTAACACCCTCCCACTTATTATGTTTATCATTCTATTTAGGTCTATCGGTTATATATTGTATGGGCGCGAAACAAAGCCATTATTGTATTTCCCAGTTTACTATGTATTGCGCTCGCAGGTTCTGCACTCCCTACTCTCGTATATGGATTACTTATGTCGTGATATAGCCACAGGTGGAATGGTAACCTACCTCTTCTCACAAGCAAAAACACCAATATTTGACACGGCCGGTGCATGGATTACTGCCTCCTTTATTTTAACTTTTTTGTGAGTAAGATTTTGCTCTTCCTCAGTAAATCGTATTGATATGCTGTATGTAGATGTAATCTTTATTCGACGTGTAAGTTGGGCTGGTTGGTGTCGAGTTGATCTTGTCACCGGCCCTATTTAATGTAGCATTAATCGCATTGCGGATCCACTGGTCCAACCGATCTCTGGGAAGAGCGCCCACCGATGGCATGATGGTACGTCTTTTTGGTCTACTTATGCTATAGATAACAGTATTTTTTGCAAAGAAAATCACAGAAATTCTGGTTGAAAGTGCAGTATTATATAGGTGAGTCCATGTATATTGTCCCTACCCTTCGTTTTTAGGATCTAACGCACATAGCGTTTGTGTTGTGTTGTCTCTGGGGACGTACGTTGGCGGATCAAATGCCCAATTTGTCTTTGTGGCCGCAGTGAGTTGCCTATTGCTATTTTATCGAAAGTTAATAATCACCACACGCTAAATAGAACGGGCCAGTCATTGTAAGCAGCCATATGTGAATCGTCCACACCCAACTGACACAACTCCCCAAGGGTATTATCTTCTGTATGATCATGTCCCGTACCCATCGGTCTTTGTCTGGTGGCGCTACAACAAATTCGAACAGCAGAAGGTCAAGAGCGACCAGCGGCAGTCACGTGCTTCGGCCTATGGCGGTTAAAATAACCACTGAAGTAGAGGCTGACATCGGGGGAACCAAGAAATCCTCCGATTTTGGGACCCTGACTTCTTCGTCGCAGGTATATCCCATGCACCTACAGAAACACGATTCGGTAGGAGAGGTTTGAGATCAACTTAAATTTGGTCCAGTACATAGACAGCCATTTTGGGATCAGCTTGTCAGCTTATCAGCATCGCCTAGAAGAATAGGAATTGATTTCCAATTTCTCTAAGTCCTTCTACCCACCAGTTTCACAACGACATGACCAGGGCTCCAAGAAGCCCTAAGAGTGCCAATATCCAATTTCAAGTGAATCCGAAGATTCGCAATCGTGTTGGGCCAGCTGAGGGTTAGATCGAGTAACGCCACAAGATATCGATGGTTGGCCCATTGGGTGAGAGCACGTTGTAGGTAACCAATAAATCCGATTTCAGGGGATTTCCGTGGGGATGACCTTCCCCGAATACAGCGATTTTACGATCACAAAACCCCATGAGCAGCGTGTTGAGCGGGTTGTGTGTGAAACGCCTTGGCGGGCCGCCTCAAACATATAACACTGTCGTAACAATCCCACAAGTCGTTTTTTAAATGCACACTAATCAGTTTCCAAGCCGGGGTATGGATTATTACGGTTGTTAGTTGTGACCCAACGCACGCCGCCCCGAGTTGACCGGTGCCGCCCCTTTGACAACATAAGCATAGCTACTTCGGGCCCAACCTAAACCTCTATAGCCACGGTCAGATCATTCAGATCAGGTTTGGATCAGGCCCCCTCAAACCCAACACCTGGAGCTGAGCAAGGTTTCCTCCCATTAATACTACATAAAACCACTGAAGAGATATAAAATTTTGCCATCATATTACTAACCATACCCCAAGACCAGAGGCAACACAAGAGCTCAATTAATCAAGCACTAATCAACCCTTGAGCTCGAGGCCTTGGGAAAGTACGAGGCGCGAGTTACGACATGTTTGATTGGCTCGGCTTGAACCTCATGCTTTTGCCAAATAACCCATGGGGATGTTGCCTGTTCACTTGATCAGATACTTATTAACTGACAGGAAATTACTCCCTCCCGGTGTACCCCAATTAAGTCAAGGCTTGGTGGGTCGAAATTAAAATCCATTTGACTCCACGAGCATTAACTCCACTTGGAATCCTACGATTATTTACCTTGTACATGGTATTTATTACACCCCATCGGCCAAGCACAAATCTCGAGTTTCGGCTATCACTGATTCCACCAACCACGCGCTGAACACAATCTGAGCGGCCCTCTCACCGCTGCCCTCGCATGGCACAGTATGGGCAATTTTGCGACTTCATTTGGCATTCCGTTGAAGTGCATGTAGGTTATTTCCCCACGGATGTGAGGCGCGATGGCTAACGTGAGGTGGTACATATCCCTGCGACAGCTTCCACCAGCCTCGTGTATGCCAATTTTCCCGTAAATCATGTGTGGGCATAAGATTCTGGCCTTGCTCACCCCATCTTAAACGGTCAACACATAGAAACGTCCCCCCTTTTGGCTGGCACCACTGGGGCTAGATGCCGCGGCGTGTTCAGAAAAGATCTTGGAACAGTTTGCTGCCGTCACCAGTACTATGGCTTCAGGGCTTAATTTGATCCCATCAACTATAGCCGCTAAATCTGGGTGACGATCAGTCCCTCCACACCCCGCTCATTAATATGATCTTTTATGGTCGCGAAGTTTGTGCAGGCGATCGCAAGATATAAAGATCAGAGGCATATATGCGCCTACACTACCATCTCCCTTCCTCCCACATCGGCAGTATTCTGAATTTCCAACTACAATCATGGGACGTGACAACACAGATGCAACACCACTTCTCGGCGCCCACGAAGCCCGCCGTGTACCCCAACCCAAGTTCCCAGTTAACATATTCCCAAGTATCGCACACCCGTATCTTGAACTGATCCGACTGGATAAGGTATGAGAATCCAAAAATATCATTAATCTTGAGCCCGACATGGCTGTGTCAATTAGCCAACAGGGACGGTTCTCATGTTCTGGCCGTTCGGTATGTCCACTCACCCGGCGCACGGACGTTGATCCAAACATCCGCCCTCATTTAGCATGGGGCCTCACTATGGCAGCTTTCGCAATCAGCCTCCCTTTCGCGCAATATTCTGTATATCTTGGAAAATGCCTCCTGGGGGCATTCATTTTGCGAAGCTCTGCCTGTACCATAAATGATATCTTTGATCGAGATATGGATGCAGGCGTAGGTAAGTTCTAAGTAGCAATAGAGAGGTTGGTCAGTATTGAACAAATACCACGTAGAACGAACAAAAAACCGACCCTTGGCCAGTGGGCGCATATCGGTGCACAGTGCGATACTGTTCCTAATGGTCCAGTATTTTATTGGAATTTTGTTATTCAATTCCAACTTAAACGATCTTGCGTGAGTATAGGTCTTATATTATGCATAAATGCTCCAACTATCAATCTAGGCTCTGGGTTGCATTGTTTCAACTCCTTCCTCTGTGAGTGTATCCGCCATCAACCCTGGAATATATTTACACGCCCGCCAGTTTTGCGATCTACCCCTTCTTGAAAAGAGTGACCTATTGGCCCCAAGCATGGCTCGGTTTTGCAATGAACTTTGGTTTCATCACTGCCTGGATAGCCACAAAGATCAGGTTGATCATTCCATACTCTTTACGGCAATGCTAGGCTGCTGGTGGTACGCCCCTTACTTTCACGGAGAAGGATGGCGTATTTATCTAAATTCTAGCTGGACGATGTTATATGGTTCGTGACCTGAATTGCATAGGGCATATCCCTCACGTTGCCAAAAACCAGACACCGTGTACGCCTGCCAGGATCTCAAGGACGACGTCAAAGTAGGAGTACGATCAACCGCGATTCTCTTCGGGTCCTGGGTTCGACCGCTCCTTGTCGCCTGTGGAATCACATTCGTGTCAGCATTCGCCATCTCAGGTTATCTCAATAACCAGGGTCCAATCTACTTCTTGATATCGATCGGCGGCACCGCCGTTCACCTCATGTGGCAGTTTAAGACAGTTGATTTGGATATTCCCCAAAGCTGTTGGTGTACGCCTGATAAAGCTCTCATATTCCACCCTCATTTACTAAAACCGCGACAGTGAATTTCAAACGTAACGGCCAATTAGGGTGGATAGTTTGGGCGGGATTAATGATTGACTATCTAATAAAGTTGACTAGGTCGTTGAATTAATTAAGTGTACTCTACTATTAGACTAATGACATTTGATGGCCTAGGGCGCGTGCAGACTACAACGTCATATAGGGGGTGGCACGACCAGATATGGGCTCTTGGCACAGGGGTAGCGCGCACGCTTCGCATCAATGCTTGCGTGAGGTCGTGGGTTCAATTCCCACAGTGTCCAGATTTTTAGTCAATTCCCGTCTATTGTCTCTTACTCAGTTATTTCTACCATTGTCAATTATTAGTTGACCACCACAACCCTTTGAACTGGGCCATGTATGATAAATTAAATGAGGCGACTGGACTCCTCGATTAGCTAATAGATACTTAATTTACATATGTAGTCGCTTGTTAGTTTTCTCTCTCGCGCGTTCGAACGGGGTATACACGATATATCCGAGTTCACTTGTTCTGCTTCGACGTGCCCGGACCCGCGAGAATTCAACTGTGTACTATAGTAGTCTAAACGTAACATCAAGGATATACCCAACCCGCATGGGCTCTTGGCACAGGGGTAGCGCGCACGCTTCGCATGCGTGAGGTCGTGGGTTCAATTCCCACAGTGTCCATATTTTTGTACCCTTTGGACGGCATGTCGAAGAGTGTTTCTCAGTGCTGCTAAACTCTCCAAGGTGCGATTGTCGGCGTCACCCACACGCAACTGTCTTCTCGGTTTTCAAGTACGCACGAAGCGCCTATTAGTCACAGCAAAGCTAGGAATTAAATATAATGGATAGAATTAACCAAAGCTAGCATGTGTGATGGCAAATGGGGTGGCCTCACCCCTTAGCGCGTGCGGGCCGCCGGCTCGTTGCGCAGCTCGAGGTCCGTGGGAATGCCGCATGCTAGGACTATAGTAGAGAAAGTGAGAAATCTTCAATTACACAGAATTTTGAGCATTTGTCGCCCGATACCGGGTGTAAATACAATGGCGCAACTTGACATGTTTGAATTTCTCGAGGTACGCTAATGCTACTTGAGCCGCGACCTTGGCCGTCGACGCCCTAATAGATAGGAAACAATTCGACATCTCTACTATCATACTCACCCGCCAACCCAATCGAGATCGCTGCAACAGCCAGAAGGCCATTCTATCCCGTATTGACTGCCTCGAGGTCCTCATGGACGGGGCCTGGAAATATACAACTCTTCGCGGACCTATCGGTTGGGCGGCTATCAAAGCGCTGGTTCTAAGGTTTCTCCATCACCCCAAAAATAAGAGCGCAGCAAAGAACTCTATTTGATTCGAAATACACAAAAGTGCACACACACTCGCGAAGGGGAGAATCACAAACAAAGAGAAAGCATAGTTGAGAAAATTCCAGGATATTCAATGATTCAGTTGGCCGGGGGCCGTGTTTATCATCGAGGCCAATGGGATGTTTATAGTTTGTTGAGTGACCAGAGTTGCTCCGGTCGGCCATCGGCTTGTTCGGCGCGAACCTGGAAGGGAGCTATATTAGCCAGTAGACTGGATGTCGTGTCTAGCTTGCGCTTACCACCATGTCGGGGGGCGGGCCTCCTCCTGCTACAGCAGTTGGTAGAGTCCATACAAGGTCCTGACCAACCACGTTAATCTTCCGGTATGCTCCTGTCAATAACATCGGGGCGGGAATGAACGGAAAGAGTTTACATGAAATTGGTTCAAGCCAGCAGATGTGATGGCGAACGAGGTCGCTTGGTTTTGGTCAGTGTCAGTCGTAACAGGTGCCCCAGACTGGAGTAAATCTGAGTGAGTTTGCATTGGTAACACTGCGGGTATCACCAACATTGGTTGAAGGGACCTTTAAGAAAGTGTTGAATGCAATATTTTGCATAATGAGACCCCCGCCACTGCCGGGGATGAGGTTCCACTACATTACGTGAGCAAGCGGATGGCATGGAGCTGAGGAACTCACCACATCGCTGTTCTCAGCAGGGGGGGTAACAGAGACGAGCAGCGGCTGATTGGAGCCATTGCGAACTTGGGCAGGCGGAAAGATGTTGGGATCTAGAGCGGCACCCCTGATGTTGTATGGGCCTGGCTGAAACTGCAGTCGCCGCAGAAAATGTTAGTACTGGGGAGGGTGGCAGAGAGGGGATGTTCAACCTGGGCTGCAGCACCAGCAACACCGAAGAGGATGAGAACGCAGAGGGAGAAGGTTTTGGGGAACATTGTGTCTATTGAGCTTGATGTTGTTCAAGCTGTGAGGTCTAGCTTTATACCTCAGCTTATTACTGTGTCGTAATGTCCTACCGCAAATCTGATGAATTCTCGGGTCAGAAATCCCGCCCGCGCATATTCCAGACACTAGCGGGCGACTAGGGTAGAGCACGAGCAAACCGCAGGTACGAAACTCGTCCCCGCACCCGCACCCGCACCCGCGAACACCGCACCCACGACGAACACGGACACGACCCGCGCGGAATCATTGTAGTTCCTGTGAATACCTGCAGCGGCCGCACGATTCGTTCCTTTGGTCTCGCAGCACCGTTGCACACGTTAAATGACGCGGCGAACAAAGTCGCGAGAGTGGAGGGGGCGAGCGAACCGGAGCTGGCCACCTGCTGATGTGTGCATGCAAGCCGTTAGACTACCCTAGTACCACCTACTGTACGCACTAAACGGAGTCTGTCCATTCGTTTGCGTGCGAGCGGGGGTGCATGCGGGAGGGTATGAGTGTGTACCGAGTGGGCAGATATGTAAGCGTGGGCGTATCTGCAAGTGGGTGCAAACGGGTGGACGTGTGAGCGAGATGAGCGTGAAAGGTTATCCATTCATTCGTTCACTCGTTTGTGAGTGAACGGGCGGGTGGATGGGTGTCTGTCGTCCGTTTGCGATCCGGGATGGTTTACGGCTTCGGCCTGCATTCGTGGCAGATCTTTTGCGATCTAGGCGTCGTTTGTGATCCGTTTGTGACCTGGGAATCGTTTGCGGTTCGGGTGTGCTTCCGTGGGTGTAATGAGCAAGCACGACGTTCAAGCCCTGCAATTCATGATGGAAAATGAGAAAATATATAAGAAAAAAATGGACTTACTTGATGAAACCTCTCAAAAGCACGAGAACCCATGTTCGCACCGTTTTCGGGTGTGTCGTTCGTCGTCGTGGATGGCGGAGAACCAGTTTGAAGCTGATATTCGCAGTTGCGAGGTCAGAGTCGTCTCATAATGTTTAGGGATTGTTATTATTATTAACTATACAGCGGTCCGGACTCCAACGAGGTTCCCTTGAAGCTAAGCCAGTGTACCCGCGCGCACTGGAGCGTTCCAGTTGAGAATGGAATATAGGTGATGATTCAACTTGAAATACACAAAAAAAGTAATACATAGGGCATTCGAGTGGCACGATCGTCAACATGATGACCGACGCGCAGTCTTCGTCTTCAAAGTACATACTATGTACTCTAGAGACAAAGACGCCGCCAATAAAATCGTGCTTTCCCGATCCGACAATGTCCAGTCGCAGATATAATGAGCACATGGGCCAACTCTGAGACTTTGAATAAAAGACGCTGCAACGCAGTAATTTGAGCTGAAATTTGATATTCAACATGTAAAACTTGACCTGCTACGACGACGAGACACTTCCCCCGGGTCCATGACCGCCGCACAGCCTGAGAATTGGGATGATGGCCATTGGCCGGGCGACCCAATATTATTGTCGTGGCCCTAACCTTATTGCTCAATTTACATAAAGGTCCAGCGAACGCTTCGGTTTATTACCGTATGCAACGACGACCAGGAAAGGGACTGGCTCATATCCCACCTCCCATTCACCTTAATTCTTCTCTCATGGGCTCAGACTTGGAAAAAGTCTCTCGCCTAAGCCAGCGCAATCTCGGTGTCACCAATCGCATTTGGGTCATCGTTGGCCTCGTTCTTTTCATCATCACTTGCACTTATTATGTTCTTCCAACTAATTATTCCGAACCCACGCGACATTCTTACCTCCCCGACAACCTCAAGGCCAAGAATTATCTGAATGCATCCAGCACAGAGCCGAACCCATTCGATTTTTGTCCAGTCTATGGCCCAGGCGACGAACTCGGCGCCAAGTATGGCGCCCTCGTCCTTTCCAAGAGTAGAATGCATTTGGGCAGTGCAACTCGAGTTCAAAGAGTGCTTAATAGGGCTCTGGCCGGTCTTCCTGTGACCATCAGTGTTTTGGGTGGCTCTGGTTCGTCTGTCATCACCTTTTCGCTCACTGTTGCCAACAACTTGACCTTCAGTTTCTGCGTGTCACGGAGCGGGCGACGACCCTATCTCACCAAAATGCTACCCATCAAAGTTCTTCCGGTGGTGGAATAGTGTTTTCCCTCACCCAGCAACCGAGCTCACCAACGGAGCCATGCGTCGAACCAACTCGGGATACTTTGGCTACTGCAGCGCCCATCATATTCCCGACGTGACTGACTTGGTCATTATCGAGCTCGACACGGAAGACACGCCGTATGTGCACTCCATCAACCATTATTTCAACGCGACCCTAATGCATACCACAGTGACCAAGATATGGTCGAAAACTTTGAGACCCTCGTCCGTTCCATTCTCATCCGCCCCGACCAGCCCGCAGTCATCCTCCTTGGCCACTTCAGCCCCCAGCTTCATCAAGCACATGGGTTCGCCGGCCCAGACCACTGGCACGATACCGTGGCACAGTTCTATGACGTGCCCCATGTGAGCATCCGATCCACCCTGTTCCCATCCTACATGAAGGACCCAGCCTCGATCTCGAAGTATTACGTGGATCCCATTCTCGCGAGCCCAGTCGGCCACGACCTGATCACTGACATCCTCGTCGCTTACTTCCAGTCCCAGATCTGCACCGCCTGGGGGGTGGCCACGGGCTCTTCCTACGACACTGTCCCGCTGCGCTCCTCTGAGGGCGGCGCCGGCGCAGATTCGCATGGGCTCTTCGGTGGCGCCGGCCCACGCAAGGGTGTCCCCGAGCCGGGCTCGAACGCCAAAGACGGGCTGGACAGCGACGGGAACCGCCTCAAACCCGAGGCGCCTGCTCCCAACAGCATTCAGTACGCGCAGCTCCATATCCCCCCCGGGCGGATGAACACGCGCCCCAACTCCGGCCGCCCATTCGAGGAGATCGCGCCCTTCTGCGTGTCGGCGAACGACCTGATCAACCCCCTCCCGCCATCGCTCTTCTACGGCTCTGGATGGTACGCGTTCCACCCCGGTGCGGGCGGC